TTTTTTTTTTCCCCCCCCCCCCCCCCCCCAATCAAATTCTGGATATTCAGGAGAAATTTCTGGAATATTAAGTCCATTAGCAAATGAGTACAACTGCATGTGAAGACCACTATAAATCAGTGGGTTTGTAGATATTTAGAAATTATTTGCTTTAAATATGTCAGTCCCCACTTGGCAAAACAATTACCTGATCCCAAGGTACATATTGTATCCTTAACACTCACTTGAATCAAGTAGTTACATGAGCTAAATATATCCAAGCGTCAGGCCTTTTAGGCCCCCTCTACACAGGCAGGTAAAGGCACAAGGGGATCTCATGCACAATTCACACAATTGTGTCTTCTGCCAGGCCACACGTGCATGGCAGGAGGTGTGACTGTGGGACTGCACGTTAGATCCAATCACACCTGATCCCAAGCTCCCCCTGCACCAGCAAGGAGCAAGCTTTCATGGCTGGGAGTCCCCTTAGCTGGAAGACACGTGTGGGGTGTGAATACGCTGTGGGGCATGAATACCCAGCCTTAGTGGGGCGTGAATACCCTGGGGCAGGTTCATGTACCCCTGGGGCTGGGAGATTGCTGCAGCAACAATCTGCCTGCCCTGGGGGTTTCATGCACCCCTGGGGCTGGGGAATTGTAGCTGGTAGGACACAAATTGGGTCCCAGCACTGGGAGGCATGCTGTGGGGACCCAGCATCCACCGCTGTGGGACTTGGGTCCCAACAGCTGTGGGGCGTTGCCAGGACCCAGAGTCCATAGCTGCTGGGGCTGAGAGTCCCCAGCAGTTGCAGGACTAACAGCCCTGGTTCTCAAGATGCACTCCTCAGCTAGGAGCCTACAGCTACAGGCTCTCAGCCACAGGGGAGACCCTGCTAAACATGCAAATTAACTAGCTATAAAGTAAGTACACATTTTTGAGGACTAACTTTATAGCTGTTTTTTGGTGTGATAGCTGCTTTGCACATTTAGCTGGTCTCAAGGCAATTGTGCAATTAACCAGCATAACCAGAGAGGGATGAGAGGGGCACTCACCCTGGATGCTGACTTAGAGGTAGCATAAGAATTGTACCCATCCCCACCCACACCCTGCGAGCTTTGGCTATGGCAGGCATAGCCCACTGTTGCCCAGCCATAGAAGCAAGGCAGCCCTTCACTCTCTAGCATACACCAGGCCCACAGCATGGGTTCCCTGGGGCTGTCCCTGGTGTCTTGCTCATTTTCCCACACCCCTCTAGAAAATGTAACAAAAATCCCAGGGAAGGGCACTGTTCAGTTCAATCCCTCCCCCACATACACTATGGGACGCAGGGCTGCCTGGCTTCTATGGCTGGACAGTGCTGGGCTACACCACAGCAAAGACTCCTGGGTGGGGGGTGGCAAGGACATTCTGGTGCCCCTGCTGAGACTGCTCCTCAGCTGCAGCAACATAGGTACATGCTATTATAGCCACAGGAGCTGCCGCTAAGTGCAGAGAGCACCAGGGAAGGTAAACCTCTTTGCCCCCACCCTCCTGTTCTGACTAAGGCACTGCAGAAGTTTGCTATGCCTCTGTAGACACACGTAACACTGAAGCATAAGTCCTCTGAAATGCTTCAAAGGGTGAGTGGACAGATGCACTTACCCTTTGAAATGTTTCAAAAATAGCTGCTGAGGAAACACTGAGTTCTTCCAAGCTCTTTCTATGTCTGTGTACTCTATGGAGCATGACAGACTCTTGCTGAGTCTTCTAGCATCCTACTGCATTCTTCACCCTCTCCCCAGCCATGGAGGCGAACACAGCAATTCCTACTCTCCAGCACCCAGTCTCCACATCTCTTTGTGTCTGTGCTCCCAGGCTAGGGTCAGATATGCAAAAAGCCAGAGCTTGAATTGATTCAATCTTTGCAGGTTATTCTACCTTGCAAAGATTGAACCAATTTGCAAGTGAATAGACATTCACTTTTGATTTAAGAAACGCAGGCACATGCCTGCAGTGGCTCAGGCTAGAATTCGGGGGTGCTACAGCAGCCCTCCCCTCCCTTTGGCAGCAGACACTTTTCCCCCTGCTCCTGCTCAGGCAGTGGGGGGCCTGGCCAGAGCCAGCTGGCATGGCCCTGCTATCTGCCTAGGGCTGGGGCTGCAGAGCTGGGTTGAGCTGAGCTGCCCCATGGGTACTGCTGAGCAGATGTGGAGGGGCCAAATGGGTTGGGTCACAGGGGCTGGGTCCTTCCCAGCGTGCTGCTGCTTGGGCTGGGGCCATGGGGGCTGTGCAGCCAGATTACTCCCAGCTCCCCTTGCCCAAGTCGGGCAGCGCTGTCATGGAGGCCCTTTCCAGAGGCTGCAGCTCTGTGACAGCACAGCCTAGGAGGCACTGGCAGGCCCCGAGCCCAGCAGCCATCCATCGCAGGCACCGCCGCACTCCCCTGCCCTATGTAGGACCCAGTGGCTCTGGCTGCTTCACAAGCTGCAGGCTGGCCAGGGCCAGGCAGGCTGTTCTGCCCCCCTCATCTCTAGCTGCCACGGCCAGTGCTGT